CATCATCATCACATGCATGTTCGCGAGCGCACACACTCACATACACACACACACACACACACACGCACACACACACACACACACACACACACACACACACACACACACACATACACACACACTATTTCTTAGGGCACGTATCTGTGCAAGCACGCGCATACAAACAAGAACACTCACCCCTCTTTGCAAAGAGAGACGTCGCAGGTAGATATTTACGTGTGTCTCTGTGTTAGAGAACGCATGTTCATAATTTCATGCAAGTTCGGTACTACCCCGTAGTAGTATGCGTTCACACACTCACTCAATCTCTTACACACATGTTCACGCACAAACACGCATGAACTTTTCGTTTTAGTAAGAGTTTTACGGCACTTGAAACACAATAAGGTCATATAAGTGCCGAAGATTAGAGGTGTTACAAGAGAGTAACAAACACGAAAAAAGAAGGAGGGGAGATAGAAACGATAGATTTTTTTATAAGAAAGAAGGAGCAAACCACACCAGAGCACCCGCCAACCACTCGGTTGCATGAACTTAATACACCCATGAGCACTCACACTAGCGTACACACACAATATTAATTAAAATTATCCTTCTAGAACTTTAGCCCGAGACCTAACATGCGTTTACTGAACTCAAAATAATGAAAATTTTAGAATTCAAATTTTCCCCTCTATTACACAATAATACAGTTCAGTTAATTCTATTCTTTGACTTCGAAGCAGGCAAGACACTCACATTCCGATATTTTGATTCTTTTGTTTGTCGAGAAAAGCATGAAAACACTTCATACAAGGCTGTGCTCACACTTATTTTGTAATCCTTTCGAACACTTTGAGGTATTATGTTGTCAACGAAACAACTACAAAAATAACAAAAACCAATAACCTAATTGAGACAATATGTTGTGAACGAAACAAATACAAAAATAAAAACCTAACATGCTAATTGATTACCAAAAGGTAAACATTATTCTCATCATTAATTGGCTTTTTTTATTTTAATGGCAACAACTGCATCATAATCGAATAGTTTTCATTATAGTGTGCAATCAACCTAACACACAAAAGCATGACCAATTACACTTTTCTCATAATACAAGTATCATACTTCATGCAGACCTTTTGATCTCAAAACGTTACGGTAAAACTTCAACTACACAGTCGAAACAAACATGATTTTTAAAAAAAAATACGAGAGAAACACTTGAGACGTGTTTCGCCACTGAGACCTGAGATGTTCTTTGTTTGGATGTCATTCCTCGCACCATGTGTCGTTCTTCCAGCCATGTTTATTTTCCATTATAAAAGACTTTTAATTGTGACCTTGATTTACATGTACATGTACTCTGTTTATAATATTTAAACTTCTTTGTTGATATTAATTTGTTTTAAAGTCTCATTCATTTTTGCTGGTCAAATTTTACAAGGGTATGCTTATTTACATCGCAATAAAACTCCTCACAGGGAGAAAAATACACCGATGTCGATTTGGACTTGCTTATTTTGCACTGTTATGTGTTAAGGTTTGAATTAGAGAGAGAGGGGTGAGAGAGAGAGAGAGAGAGAGAGAGAGAGAGAGAGAGAGAGAGAGAGTAGTGAG